CGGGACAATTTTCCAGGTCAAGCCCGCGACAATTTTATAAAAAAATTAAGCCCCTTCAATATAAACAAAAATACTCGGGAACTGCCGCGGTAAAGCTATTGCATAGCATTTTTATCAACTTATGCAATTATAATTATATATTTATTTTATTTATGCAGTATTTTTTTTCTTTGATATTAATTCAAGTTTTTTCTTTGATATTAATTCAAGTTCTTTCTTTGATATTAATTCAAGTTTTTTCTTTGATATTAATTCAAGTTACACTTTTTAAGCGTGGTGACCGATAAGAAAACAATTTTTTTCTTTTATTGAATAAATGAGAAGTTAATATTGTTTAAAATATTTTTATTATCTTACATGTAGGTTATTCAGGAATATGTATCATTGAAACTATAGGTTTATGGTAACTGAAATAAGAAACATAAGTTTGAGACTTGATATCCTCTATAAATATCTGGAAAATACTGCGTCAATGGTGGTCCCATATTTTGTTGTGGATTCTTGTGGATCACTATTCATTTTCAAATTCAATTTTTCCAAAATTGTGACTAAAAGAGATAGAATCAGTTATGAGCAGTTAACAACTAGTCTACACGCATACGTCTAGTTGCACGCATACAAACACCGTGCCGAAGTCTGCCGAACTGAAACGACGTTAGACGATGCACAGCTTTCAACGCCGCACCACTGTGCCGGTCGGAGTGGGGGGTGTATTTTCGTTACGGAATTTCTTTTTCGATTTTACGATTTTTCCATTTTTTGATCTTTCGATTTTTGAATTTTTCGATTTTTCAAATTTTCGATTTTACGATTTTTCGATTTTTGGATTTTATGATTTTACGATTATACGATTTTACGATTTTACGATTTTACGATTTTTCGATTTTTCGACTGTTCGATTTTTCGATTTTTCGATTTTTCGATTTTTCGGTTTTTCGATTTTTCGATTTTCTTTTATTGAATAAATGAGAAGTTAATATTGTTTAACGCCGCACCGCTGTGCCGGTCGGAGTGGGGGGTGTTAGGTTTATTTTCGTTACGGAATTTCTTGATTCGGTCGCCGCGCTCAAAGCCCGCGATAAAAGCTATGCAATAGCTTAAAACTTCTTTCTATTGAAAAAAAAAGGTCCCCTCTCTCTTGTGTTCTTCTAAAAAAAGCGTCCTCACCTAAAGCTGCCAGGCCCCCACTTGATCCCGGTCCCCGGAAATTAGTCGCGGCTACCCCCCCCCCCCCCCTCTCGTCGGCCCTGACGAAAATCCAGTACTGGATTTTAGTAACTCATACAAGTTACTAGCAACGTGAAACACTGTCTTACGAGTGAGTCCCTCCCTGAAGCTCTGTCAGCTTATACGAGACCTGTTTGATTAAATTTGATGTTTTGAATTACAAAATTTACGTCTAATAGAATTATAATTTTAATTTATACTTTTAGGAGTTTTATGAGGTTAACTCCGTTAAATGAAAAGTCTTTATATTTTTGAAAATGTATTTTCAAGTGAACATAAAACAGGATAAAAAAACGACAAGAATACTCTTATTATATCATGCAACAACTTTGATACTGTTTTCAAATTTTAAAATATTTGTCTCTTTAAATTTATTATTTATCACATATTTATATTTTTAACTTTTCAAATGAGCATAAAAAGTATAAAAAAAAACAAAATCTTGCTGGATATATGAATATTTTTCATCCCACCATCGCATCGTTTTATCTACTAATTAATTATCTAATTTTTTAAATAGTAGGAAGAAGCTTGATACCTCATTTAAAATAGATTTTATCCAGTATAATGTTTTTTGGAATCATCTAATTTTGTAATAAGTACTCTTTACATTGTTTATAAGTAAATTTTATTGTAACAAAATATTAAAGTCAATTTTGATTAATTTTTAAATACATATTTCATACAAAAATATGTCAAATTTGACTGAATAGGAAATTAAAATCTCTTTTAAATGAAGTATCACAAGTCCCACCCTACTTTTTAAAGGTGAAGTGATTGACATAAGAGGTAAATTGTTTTTATTCATTATGGTAGTAGAAAAAGTATAGTGTGATACTCGTGTAGAAAGCCTATTCCATACTCGTGCTACAATGTTTACACATCTAGTGTACTTAGCATACTCTTCACACAGTGATCTGTGAAGAGTATTTTAGGTTTACTTTCTAGAAACCAACATTTTGAATAAGGATCCAAATTTAAAAATTTTTCATCAAATTTTAAACAATTTTTAAAAATGTCCGTCCGTACGATGTCACGTTTTTTGTCCGCACGATAAGTCAAAAACGAAAAATGTTATCAACTTGAAATTTTCAAAAAATCAAGCTCTATAAGGGGACTAAGTCTATGAATAAAAATAGGAAGTTAAGGGGGTTGTAAATCAAAAACGAAAAGCGATAAACATGAAATTTTTAGTAAAAATCAAGCTCTAAGGGAGGAAGAATCCTATCGGATTTTGAAAAATCTGATTAACGGTTTAACGGGAGTTTGAATAAAAAAATATCAAATCAAAAACACAAAAAAGGATATCAATATGAAATTTTTAATAAAAATTAACCACTATGAGGGGATAAAGCCTAGTGAATCTGAATAAAAACGAGGGATTAAGGTTGGTTGAAATATTTAAAAATCTCCTAATTGAGAACCGAAAAACGATATTAATTTTAAATCTTTATGAAAAAGCAGGGGATGAAGCCTGTTGAATATTTAAAAAAATCTGAATAAAAATAGGGCGTTAAGGGGGTCTGTTAAACTGTGAAGAGTATAATATCGAATGCCAAGCAACATATATCTTCATTCTAGGACAATATTATTTCTACCTTCTGCAAATAAATATTTGAATAAATTATAGAAATGATAAATATTAAAAGTTGAAGTATTATGAATTCTTTGGTACATTTCTAATTAAATCTTGATGATGATATTCAACTGCTTGCATGTGGCCATTTTTTCATAAACGAAAAAACAGTACCACATATTTTTTATTGAAATCAAAAAAATGTAAATGGATCTCCATTTATATATCATTTTTTTTTAAATGTTATTTATTGTAACTGAAAGTGAAAATTAACGATGATTTTTGCACGAGTTTTATTGAGGGGAAAAGGGTCTAAATATTTTTACATTGGTCGCTTAAGGGATAAACGACCAAATGTTTTTACATGGACTTTAATAGATTCTAATACGAGTATGGAATACATGTGATTTGTCTACGTCATTTTTAGCCAACGGTTTTTCTTATAAAATTTACTTAACACAAAATATACTGCGTTGTAGGCATTTATTGCGATGTTGCAAAGTTGAAAAATGAAGGATTTTATCTTTAGAATATTAGATCTCATTAAAGTTTATTTTTGTATTTAACAATGGGTAATTCCAATTACTTAAATAATTTGATGTCCACCAAGATAGTGATTAAAGTTGTTAAAAAAACCCATTCATCTATATAGAATTCCACTCAAAATTTTTCATAACAATGGATATACAAAACAAAAAGAGCTCATCGAACATGAAGGGTTACAATGAAAATTTATTTTACAGGGTTTTTCGTAATGATGTTCCAATATTTTAACAGGGTGTTCTACCAACTATTTAAATTTTGCAATTTGGGTCCTATCTATCGAGATATTGAAGTCTCTAAATGGTGAAAAAAAAAAATGTTTTTTTTTCTTAAAAACGGGTAGGTACAAATTAAAATTTTGGTACACATTATCCATTAGTCGAACGCTATTTTCTGAGCCGGTTCTCTGCTTTCAGTTATATTTCTGGAGGATAGAGAGTAGCAACCTTTCTTTTTATTTTATTTTTCAGAACATTCTTCTAAAAGCCAATTCCAACAATTTGTTTCACTTTAGTAATTTTTTCTTACGTTTAACAGTTTACGTACAAAAAAAATTATTTCTCTTGATGTTCTATTAAAATTTTCGTCATCGGTTACTGCGATACGTATAAGGCCCATGGTCATTTTTTGTTTTGTCAAGAAATCACATTTATGCCAATTACTTAAATGGTTTTTTGAACCTGTTAAAATATTGGAATATCATTACGGAACACTCTGTATATTAAATAGAATTTCTTCCAAATTGATAATCTTCTCTATATTTTTGAAAATAAAACAGCTACAATGTATATCACACTCATTTAATTCATTAATTAGAATTCTGTGATCAATTCTGTCAAAAGCATTTGAAAAATCGGTATATACAGATTATTTCCAAATAGTTGGGACATAGTTTAACTCTTGTGACAAAAATAAGATGATTTGATCCAACTTACCTGTATCCTTTACACCTTTTTGTATAAGCTTGATCTCAATTTTGACACAATAATTATTTTGGTTTTTGGTTTTCTTTTCTTTCATTTTGACCAATTTTTTCTTATTATAAAATTTATGCTTTTATTAATTTAATTGACCACTTATACCTGTTGGTTTACGAAAGCAGCGTGTAAGAAAAATAAACACAGGCCTACTTGTAAAGAAAAAATCCAGCTGTCTCACCACAAAAACAATTAATTATTCCATAAGTAGTTCTCACACTGTATATATTTTCTTCAGCTTATAGGAGATAACTTTTCTTGTTAATTTTACTGTTCAAATAAAGAACAGTTTTTGTTAACGCCATTGACTCAATATTATAGTTTAGATTTGGAGTGCTCTAGTTACTTTTTTTTTAAAAATTATTTTAATTTTTTTAGTCCCAATTGTTTATCCGTAAACATTTTTAATAAATAGTAAAATTAAATATTTTTTATTTAAATTTTTTTTATTAAAAACTAATAATCTTCAGATTTATGCCGTTTTCAACATACAGTTCAATTTTTACGATAACTCTTCACAAGTATCGATCTTCATACATTTGATATTTGTCAATTTGATATTTTATATTTGACATTTCATATTTGACATTTCATATTTGACATTTCATATTTGACTTTTACTATTTGACATTTGCTACATGACATTTGATATTTGACTGATCATTTGATATTTACAGGAACGACGAAGACGCCGAATTCAAGAAGCTCATCTTCCAAAAATTCTTCCAGGAAGATTTCCAGATCGACGACGACAAGAAGTACGAAAAGATCGACGTTCCAGATTTCCGCGACGGTCGCAGCGGCCGATTCATCCATGATTTCAACACGAACACCACCGGTATCATTGATATAACTGGTCACAGGTGTTTCGTTATGCCGTTGAACAGGGACGACGTTCTGCCACCCAAATCGTTATTCGATTTGATCCACAAGATGTGGGAGGGGTGAGTGTCTTTGTTTACTACCTTATTTTAGACTTGCTGTATTCTTCTTCAGGGGTTTTGGTAAAGTTTTTTTCGGGCTCGGTTCTATCATTACGTTGGTATTGTGACCTCCCACCCCCTGTTCTTGTAGATAATTATTAAAAGCCCGTATTTTAATTTAACTACCTCCCTCCCCTTGTGAAATTCAAAGAAATTCATACTTACTGTATATGGCCTTTTCCTCTAGTAGTGTAGTGATCGTCTAGTTAATTAATTGATAATTTATATACCCACGTTGTGATAATGTTAATTAAAATAAACCAGGATTCGATGCAAAGTTTGGTACAAATTTGTGAATGAAATAATGCTCAAAGTATATTTAACTTAATTTATTTTCTTGATCTCCAATAAAATAAATATGTACAGATTATTTTAATATAAGGTAGACCTCACATGTGTCTCGCCCAAACAACAGGCCACAGGCCACTTGCCATCAAATATTTGTAATTAAACAATTCTTGAGAATAGACAGCAGACGTCCTCAGAATTGCACTATCTTTAATAATTCTTTGTTTCGTTGTTTTCTTTTTTATATAGGTGCAATAACAGGCGGATATCCCTTATGTTTCAGCCTCACCTAGTGAGGTTTTATGTAGATGTAGTCTTACTAGAATAGAGCCAGATCAATACTAGCGAACTACCCCTTATGTTCAGATCTACCTACGGTGCAAAGATTGAGAGATAATTATCTAAGATAGTCCAACCCTGTAGTAACATCAAGCATATTCGGATAAATGTGAGTCTAGTCGTCCGATATGTCATTTACCCCAATCAGCTGAGCTGTTATTTGCGAGGGTTCATTGACAGTTCGGTAACCAGACTCTTATTATCTTTTACGGTAATATATTAATTTGAAGGCAATATGGCCCATAGCATACACATCTGGACGAGCTAAATGCGACGTCGGCTAGCAATAAATTCCTCAAAGGTAAAGATTTACCATTATTGAATAATAATGAGTTACACCATATTACTCATTATTATTCAACAATAAATTCCCATTTTTACAAATTTAATTTGGTTGTTATTAACTCACCATCGGATAAACAGACCGTTGGGTTTATATTAGCGTCTGTTTCTATTTCAGACATTTTATATTTTTGTATTCTGGATAATTAGCAGGGACGTTGAGCGACGGATGGGGACGTCGGATAAAGAGATGACGTAGTGACGTCGAGACGTTGGGCGTCGGGATGAATATAATGGTAGGACATACTAAGTGGTATTAGAAGTGATATCGTTGGGACGTCGAAAGGTAGGGAAGTAGAACGGAGAGGCGTTGGGCGTCGAGACGTTGACACCTTTGGGAAATAGGAGGTATTGTGGGATATACGTCGTTTAGGAAGAGCGTTTAGGAAAGTTACAGACTGTATAACTGGGTACTGACAGTAAGGTGATTGCTTTGAATGTAAAATAACAAATGTATGTTTGCACATCAAATCACAAAAATTGAATGCCTCTGAGCTCATTTAACTCTGGTTTTTATACACAGTTTAATCGTTTTTGTGACGTCTCTATCGTTTTGTTTCTCATAGAAAATACGAATTTAGGTGGACAGGGGGTGGCTGATTTATTACTTGCCTTGGAAAGTTTGTGTATCGAAAACAACGTTCCTATTCAAAACTGACTTAAGATAAGTGCGTTAAGAGTTTTAATGATTATTACTTCGTGTTGTATGGTGGTTTTAGATTGCGTTCCCAGACACTTTTAAGAAATTGGATCTCTTACGGGCTGGGTTATAGATGTTATTTATTAGGTGTCGTAAATAAGATTTAATTATCTGGGAGATTTTTGTTAAATGCAGAATTTGGTATTTAATAAGAATGCAACTTTTTTAATAAAATGGAATTAATAAATGATTATGGTACCTGGGTGCGGTAGGTTACAGTATGAAAACTGAATAATTTTAATAGTTGTCAAATCATAATTAATCATAAATAATGCTCGACCAAATTAAATCTTGAAAATATACATCGGGTAATCCAGTCGAATATTCATCTGGAAAACTACATACATGTTTATTAGCTGAAATTTTCTATAGTGGTTAATATCTGTATATTTTTCATAAAATCTGAGATAAAAAAAAATCAAAAGTAAACATAGGCAATACAGATATAATTAAAACTAACTAATCTTGGAAGTTATTATCATTAATAATCATTAATTAAATAATATGTGACTTGGATTTTAAATGTAGTTACATAAGTTACAGATTTAATTTTCTCTGAAAGTTCGTTATCCATACCTTGAATTTTTTGTTGCACTCTTAACAACAGTTTCAGTACAAAAGTTATTTCTGGTCTTTGTTTGATAACTGATCATTATTAAGCTTCTCTTTTAGGCACATGTGTTTGATTTTATAAAAAAAATAATGCGTTCCGTAATAAGTGACTTTTAGAGCAGCGGCCCGGCTTAGCAGGTTCACTATTGTGTATCGATATCTGCAGTCAAGCCAGGCTGAGCGTAGTTAGTAGTGATCATAGCAATGAGTGCGAGGTATAGCGTGGGTGTGGTGGAAGCTGGTGGTAGTAATAAAACACTGAGTGAAAAAGTAAAGATTATAATGATGATGAACTATTTGAAATTACAATAAATACAAACAGCGAACTTTAACGATCAACGGGTCGATACTAATGACAAAAAACTGTCATACTTGCAGTGTTACCAACTGTTATAATTAAAAGGTATCTAAAAACGTTGCACTACCCAACATTCTGGAAATGCTGACCCTAGGCTTCATGCAATAAAACAGGTTTTGTTCAAAGCGCTCTCGGACATTTTGAAGCATTTGTGGTGTGATTTGATGACATTCATCAAATATGCGTTGTCGCAGATTTACCAGTGATGTTGGCTAGGAGGCATACATTTTAGTTGTTAGTGGCTTCATAAAAAATCTAACGGGGTTAGATCCGGAGACAGTGGGGGCCACTCAGTACTTCCTGTTCTTCCGATCCATTGACCAAAAAAGGCTTGATCCAAATATTGACGAACAGTCAGTGCAAATTGGGGTGGCGCACCGTCTTGCTGGAATATTAATTTGTTTGCTATGTACTGATCGTCATTCTCAATTAACTCTAGTAAAGTTGGATAAATGGCGTTTTCTAATAATTCCAGATAATTTCTGCGGTTAAAGTTCCAGGTAAAAACGGGCCAATTATACGGTTACCAAAAATGCCAGCCCAATAAGTCAGTTTTTCCGGATATTGCGTATGCACTTCATGAAATACTCTGGGATTTTTTTTCTTTTTTTTGAGTGTTGTTACTAGTCATTACTGACTAACCTACAATTTTAATCTTAAAATCTTATAACTAATTACTTATTTAAAAAGTCCCCATTGGGCTGTCTCTTAATTGTTTCAAAACAAGGAGAAGGATGGATCCAATGTGGAATGTGTCTTGACTGGGCTCACGAAGGCTGCAGTGGAGCGGGCGAAGAAGATACCTTCTTTCAATGTGATTTTTGTATCTAAGATTAATATTTTTTTGTTAAAGCTAAAGTTTTTTGACTTAAAATGTAGTTTTTTGAATTAAAATGTAGTCTTTATAGTTTTCCATAAAGTTAATATGTGCACGCGATCTTACTCCCCTAGTAGGGTGATTTGACATTTTGAGAAAAACATATTTTTCTGGAAAAGTATAATGAATCTACGACTTTTCTGAAACATTATATTGTGATACGATAAACAATACGTCAGGTCGTTCAATCAAGCAAGCTCTAGTTGGAGTAGTTTGACTTCAACATTCCGAAAAGTGTTAGCTACCTGATCTTACCCTTCTTTCCCCTATAGTCCCCGTCAAAGAAGGTCTGGATATGTGAAAGAGGACTCATTGGTATCTCTGTAAATCTTGAGAATGTAAGGATGGAAGGAAGACGAATCTTGCTGGCTAAGATGTAGATAGGTTAGAAAAAAGGAGAGTATAAAAGAAAGCTCTAGTAAATATTGTCGTTTATGTCTAAATTTTTATTCTCACTCATTGTTTCGGTTTTATTTTTATTTTCAAAAGAAAATAAAAGTAATCATGCATGCTAGCTTCCCTTTTTTTAATATTATGAGTGTTTTTATAGTTGAAATGAAAATTATAATTTATTTTTGGTCCTAATAAATTTTATTTTTTTTTAGTGTTGTTACTAGTCATTACTGACTAACCTACAATTTTAATCTAAAAATCTTATAACTAATTACAGTAATTACTTATCTAAGAAGTGGGCTGTCTCTTAATAAATTGTTTCTATATGAAAGCATCACAAGTTGGCGTGACGATTTATTACACTGTTTTACACTAGCACTAACATTAACGTTCACTGCACTAGCTCAAATGGCTTCTTCCTTTTGAGCCTTCTGTTGAGTGTAGAGTTGTCCAGTAATTGCAGCGCTTCTTCGTTGACGTGGGAGTAGAGTCGACTCTCAAGTTTCGCAGCAAACCTCTTTATTTCTTCTTCGATTGTTGGCATCTTCAGGTCTCTATGAAGATAATCGTTTCGGTAGAACCAATGTGCATCAACAATGCATCTTAGGACTTTATTTTGGAAAACTTGTATCATGTTGATATTACTCTTGCTCAGTGGCGGCTCGTGGGCACTAGCGGCAGTGGGGCACACACTGGAAAGAAATCCCGGGATTCGTTTTTCTCTTAGGAAAACAAGTTCTCCGCTTAATGAAAATTAAATATATTTCAAAACAATCAGTTGGGGCAACAACGATTTCTGAATGTCACTACAGGGAGCTAAATGTGACCACTCAAAATGCATTCAACTATGTATGTGGCTATTTAATCAAAAAATCATTACATATCCACTCTTGCGAAATTTGCGTAAATTTCTCAGAAGAATGCAATTTACTTAACAATTATAACTTGTTAACGCATTTTAAAGCATACGACTCTGAAGAAAAGGTGTTTGGCAATTTAAAATCTCCCAGCGAAAAATTTCTCTTTTATATTCTCAAATTAGAAAAAATATT